AGTGACTGGTATACAGATGCAGTGTGATAACAAAAAGCCGACCTCTTAATGTGGCGTTAACACATCAAAATAAATTTTTATATAATATTATATTCAAAATAAATTGGTTCAACGACATTTAGTAATTAAACTGGGAATACACAGGTAACAATTGTATGGAATACAATTACTGCTAATATTGAGTGACGTTTCGACTAGGCTTCTCTTGTCTTCATTAAGCAATGATAGAATCTAAAATGTGATGGGATATTGTACATTTAAAAAAAATACTTGGTTAATGATGATAACCAGAGAACCTCGCACTAATTACCAGGAAATAATTTAACTTAATTAACGTAAAATTACGATGACAATAATCAAGATAGATTGGGGGCCATGTTAATAATAACATTCAATAACTTCAAAGTAACTCTAGATTCAGCTGATTCTCGAAAACCCATGCACTGACTTAATTAGCGTAGGGTATTTTTCAAGAATCTAAGCTCCGAGGTCGTCAAATATATTTTAAAAGGATGTCGTCTTTTAATTTCATATTTCGTAGAAAATTGCATTTATAAAAAGTCAGGTGTTCCGTTTGAGTCTTTATCTTGCCCGCAGGATTGAATTGTACCCGTAAGCTAAACAGATTGTAAAAACTCCCGAAAGACGACAGTAAATCGGAGCGCAGATAAGGGTTGGTTGCATAGTTAACTTCATTAATCTAGGAATTTTAATAACACTGATCAAATGTGTCAAAATTATTTACTGATTTATATAATAAATATCTCTATATAATATCAGGAGCCGCTGTGACCAAGAAATTTGTACGGGATATTCCAGTGTGAGTACCCCTGTCAGTGGTGCAGGACGGGGGGTGGGGGGGGGGGCTGGTAAGGACAGTATCTAGTCGTTCGGATGAGGCGGAAAACCGAGGTCCCGTGTACACATTAGCGAGCACATAAAATAACCCTTGCCAGTTGATATTCGGAATAAGAATTGGCCGCTGTCAGGAGAAAATTTCGCAAAATGTCACTTATAGCACCCCGCATGACATACGCCCGTCTTCATTAGCCCAGTCGGTGCAGAAAGTTAGGACGTTAAACCTCCTCATTTCATCATCTGTTCATACAAAATAGTATAGATAAAAGGACATGGCCATCAGCATTCCTTTGAGAGATTAGATTTATTCGTTTTTTTAGATTAATTTTCCCATACATACAAGATAGTGACCGTTAGATTCGTCCAATAAAGTAAAATGATAGTACGATTGTTGAAAGAAAGATAATCGAAATATCAAACTGGATTTAATCGAATATACACTCTGTTTGCGAACAATTGAAGAGAAAATGTTACTCAAATGTTATCCATAATATCATTTCATATTGTGCGATTGTCGATTAGATAAAACATACACTATGTTTACTTTTATCATGTACCCTTTTATAGTCCAAATCGAATATTGATCGTCCACACGATATCCTTTCCATATTATGTTACTGGTAACAAAATGCAATTTACCGTGTTAAAACAAATAATCTAAAACTATTTACCTTTTAAAAAAATGTTCTGCATCTCATTTTCCTATGTCGCTAATATCTTTAAAATTATCAGCGAAATCACATACCATGTCATTAACTACAATAGTTTTAATGACTCAGAAAAACTATAAACTCAGTAATTGTAAAGCATAACGTTGTATTGACATTTTATCCGAATACTAGAAAGGCATTCTTGTTAATAAATATTTATCATATTAAATTATTCAACAACGCAGCACGACGCATTATTAATAAAGGAACACTGCATCAGTCAATTCTATAAGCTATGCAATTAAAGTGTGTTTACATAATATGAGCAACCCAGAAAAGTCACGTAAATGAGTCATCGCTTTAGGAATAATAGCATAAGGTGTGGGTGATGCAACGGACAATTTTCCTTATTGATATTTTGAACATAATTATTTCGTAAAATGGTTGTAATTATTATGATTATGCTCAGTAATGGATTTATAGGCTACATTTTGTTGTCATGGGTAACATTTTTGGTTTATGTTTTGAACGCCTTACAGCAGTTAAGACACAGTGCGTTAGAACTTCAAATCCCGTTCAATATTATTACGGCCTAGAATTGGATAACAATAACGAAATAGATCGGCCTATAACGAGGTAAACAGTAGCCCGTTTTTACCACTTGGTAAATTTATGACTATGCCCACTTTCCAGGATATGCGAGAGAGAGAGAGAGAGAAATGGGGTTTAACGTCCACTCGACACAAACTAGGTCATTTCGGGACTAACATGTGGTTTAATTTTATTTCAATAATTTGCTTGCGCGTAGGGGTCTTTAGCAGTGGGAGGAAACCGGAGGACCCGGAGAAAACCCACGAGGTTGGACAGGCGACCCTACTCCTTGTCACGTACAACCGGTGATTCGAAACCACGCCAGTTGACTCAATGATAGACTTAATGATACAGCGCACACGTGCTAACCACTAAGCCATCCAACCCCCCTCCAGGATATGTGTATCGTATGGTAGGGTGCTAGTATGTTTCTAACTCGGTTATCCATAATATCTGGAAATATTGTTTTCTTTCTGTGGAGTTATCTCGCCAGGGTTAGAGTTAGGGTCTTGTAAACTGACTCTTATAACAAAGGGCCCGCGTTGACCCCTATGTCCCCATGATGGAGGTCATACATTTTACCGAACGGTTAACACGGGTTGCCGTTTACCTGCGTATAGGCCGATTTACTTCGTTATTATTACCCCCTTCTAGGCAGTAATATTATTGGGCCGAGTGGGAGTACTAGAATGGTTGCTGTCCGCTATTCTTAACCATTACCTTTATGGATATCGTATTCCTTTAAATCCAAAAATACCACCATTTAAAGTAGGGCTCTCACTAAGCGATAGACCGAGTGTGTGTTACAGCCTATATATCTAGCTAGCTATAAACTACACTGCACACATTATTACATATCTATTCAGTTAATAATAACGGTGACCAGTCATTTACCAAAACATTTCGGTCAACGGATTAGGATTTCTTTCGAATTTTTTTCATGTTATATACATGGTGAACTTACTCATAACTTTTAATTCTATAACATTAAATGTCTAGTACTGAGATATGTCATAATTTTAGTTAAAATTAGGTTTTCAGGTGGAAATAAATGTCCTCTTTAACCTCAACGGAACATAACCAAAAATGCAAATAGTCGACTGAATTGAGAACAATGAACCCGTTACTTACATACAAGCGTTTCCAGTTGAAAGATAAAATTGTTTACAAGCAATATTGGAGAACACAATGGTATGGTTGCACAGCTGGTGTTGCTTTATGCAAGATATGAATTGTTTTTGACAGTAAAATTAGTCTTGGGATTCTTGATACAATTGCTATATGCTAAATCATGCATTAAACAGATATTATAAATGTAATTCATTTTATACATGATAAAAATATGTACAACCCTAGACTCGTCAAATTATCGACCTATTATATTTAGTCTAAAGTATATCCTCTGATCTTGAAAACCATAGACAATAATGTGTAGACTGACTTTAATCATTCTTGTATCTAAGCGATGGATTGACAGAATCCCTCAAATTTTACAAAACAGTCTAATTCGAACACCTCAATCTAACTGTTACACAGGTCCCGTCAAATCTAATTTTTATTTTATCAACATGCATTCATGTCATCATTACTCTAATGGTGATATCTTTAACTGTTAGTTAAAACAAAACCCCGAGTTAGTATCCATTTTAGGAAATGTATTTTGAGATCCTATTTTACAACATACTGGATAAATCAACACTAATTTCTGTTCGTCTGATTTAATGAATACGCTATCCGTTTTTATGTCCTTCAACATATTCGTTGTCAACAAATCAATTTGGAAAAGTCACGATTTATTTCAGAAACAAAGCAGGTTCAATAAAGTCAAATGGTTCTTGGTCATCGTGTTCACTGGTCCCTGTGGATAAATTAACTTGGACTTGTCGCCAGAGATTTTGCGGCACAACCCATTGTTATATTACTAATTACTGTTTACTGTGTTAACAATTGAGACTGAGAATAAATCTGCTTTTACGGCCACTTTAGCGTTAGCACATTTCCAACATGGTCGTAATTTGTGTTGTTAATTGAAGTTCTTTATTCTACTCGTTTCCATTGGGTATTAATTCACTGAACAGCGTGTGAATATACTATACATACTAAACAGTTACTTGTCATAAATGTTCTAACGGTGTACTGATTTGTCTGTTCAGGTTTTGATAGAATAATTTACTGATGTAGCTAGAATAATTTAGTTGATAATATTTTCTGCAGAGAGCACACCATTTAAGGGAGCTAAATCGCTAATATTTGGGACCTAGAAATTGGCACAAATGGGTCGCAATGCATATAATAATGTAATATGAATGTATATAAACTGATTTACGTTCAATCGTTTTCCTTTTTTACTGTAATTTATAATCAGTTATGTTCGGCGAAATGCGCCAAAGTCTCAATTAAATGACAATCTTTAGCGTCTGGTTATTCCAGTCTACACCGATGGTATTTATTGCGCATGCTCTCCAGATAAGAATATAGCGTCACCATGTGACATGACTTGTGTAATATATATCTAGCCTCGTTCTTTGAGTCCCTTGTTCCAAATGGCGCTAAAACGCATTATGGTACACGATTCGTGTACCAATGGTAAAATGTTTATTTTGTCTTGAATATTGGATATCAGAAGCCCATCTTTTCCCTGTAAGATCACAAGACCAATGTTGATTTGAATTGACAAAAAATTCGTGTTTTCAATGTCGAAGATTTTTGATGATATTGAGTTAGAGACTTAGATACTTTAAATATGATGTAACCCGTACATTGTTATTGGATAACGCTATATGACATATAACTTTAAAATGGCCGTGGTATGTATTAAATATTCAACCATGGTAGTTGTATGGACAAATGGCTTGCCTTTTCTATTGTACTTGACAAAAATTGAAGATTTTAAAGACTTACCTTAATCCTCTGAATTTTACTGATAACAACTAAATTGACAACTAAATAAGAGTCTTCTGGTTATATTACTAACGATTTCTGTTTAGTTCTTCGAAACGGCGTGATGATCTGTAAAATATAAAAATAATTATGAATCGTTAAATCACAATATGTTGATGCCATTTGACGCTCGGCAATACTCTAATAAATAGACGTGGACATCCACATCCGTTTGGAATTCTGTTCCAATGTAGCTTAAATGTCGTTATTTAATTATAAAGACTTTATCTAACATTCCAATCCATATAATCAAATAGTATCTGCCTTAGCATGTTTTACAGGTGTTGATCGGGCAATGAAGGAATGGATGGGCTTTCACATCCTATTTTTCTGCAGAAACCAGGTTAATGAAGACGATCATACCCCATGCAGTGTGTTATGAGGAAAATTTTGCCCTGGCAGCGATTGAACTCCAAATGTCAAAGTATCATTTACGTGCACGCCAACAAATACCTGGAACGTCTGTGTTTCGTACCACATGAACAACTAGAATCTTTTCCCTGTCCTGCACCACTGACAAAGGAAAGCTACGCTGTAAAATCCCAGATACCGTGATCGAACCCCGGACCTCCTTAATATGACGTAAATTAAATTGATGGCGAAAATCGAAAACAATACCATGACATGCATAAAAAAATAAGCGAAAAAAAAAAACAGAAAAGAAGAAAAGATTTTCAAAGTAGGTAGTACTCTTGGTTATGTAGAATTTTTGTTGAGACTACATACTTCCATATTTATGGAAATATGTTATTTATGGTGTTTACCGTTCACTTCCACTGAGGGTGATATCTCAGACAAGTTGTCATATTTTCATTCTTGCACCAAACTTCTAGTGTTACATTGTAGTTCTTTATGTAATAATGGTGCTGACGTTCCTATATAATTATGGTGTAACTGCGACTATGTAATATTTTATTCGGTATGATTGGTTAGTACCGCGTGACCTTAAAACAGCAACAAGTGCTAGACATCAATGAACCCATCAAAAATAATGCTGGACATTTATTTCCGGTAGAGTATGTCGGATAAATCCAAATAATTCCCTATTATTATATATAACGTACAAGAGAATTAGGAAACTTGCGAAAACCGAAATACAAAAGTACAGCATGAATCCATATGTATTTAAACTTCCAAGATAACCTAAAAGTAGTATCGGGTGTTCTAAACATAGAGTTATAGATCACTTCGATCACGACACTCGTTACTACATAAAGTTAACCGTAGCGTGGTTAAGAGCTAGGTTTCTGAAGGCAAAAATTATTGCCTATGTAGTAAGCTCAGTTCATGCATGCGAATATATAGCGGAAAAGTGAGTGGGAATAGCATAGCCTACTGTAAAATTCGATGAAATTACGATAGTAACATTAATCTCTATACGACTTTCCGCAAGTGAATGTAATTCATTGTGAGGCATCAGATATCCCGTGGTGGCGGATGCTCATTTTTTAAGAAATACGTGATGTAGAAGGCAACACGTATCGACTGTTGAGATGAAATTAGATGAAAAAGAGATAAAATCACATGGAATTTCTCTTGGTGAGCAGCAAGTAATTCCCTATCCAAAACCAAGTGATGTTTTGACCATTTATGTATCTCTAAGGGACAAAATTCCAGTATTATATGAAGCAGCATGTCGGAGAAATCGATCTGTAATTACACTGTATAACTTATGCTGTCAACCTTCACAATAGTTTCATCAAAGGTCACAAGTATTGTCTTTAAAGTCATTTTCGATCGGCCCATTTCGCTTTATGATCGCCTAATATTTGAATCCGCGCCTTCCAAACTTAATTAGGATAATAAAATTAGTTTAATTTGCGGCACACCATACTAATCATTTTTTATTTTCATACTCCATGCTGCAGTCTTTAAAGCTCCTTTCGAGAGTTTTGCAAAACTTTGAAAGGCGTTAATTGAATCAATGAATAAGCATTTTGTTCGGACCTTTTTTTTATTTGAAACACACTCCAATGCCAAACTTTGAAAGGCTTAATTGAATATGAACTAATGTGCACGATTTGTGTCGGAAAGTTTGATTTGGAACACATTATATTACAGAAGCAAAAAGCGACATTTTGATACTGATTATGTTTTCCTCTACTCAAAATTATGTATACTTAAAAGAAAGACTATACAAAGGAAGAAAGTTCTAGTCGTATCGTGCAAGGATGTTCTTCTTTTAACTGTCAATTCGGATTACATATCTACGTGCGAGAATGCCTACCGACTCTATTCTCCATTAAGCTAAATGTTATTGATTTCAAATCCCATTTTAAAGTCTCTCATTGTATATCGTTGACAGGAGCGTAAATCCCAAGTCGAATAATATCTAAATGAAATCAGTGACAGAGGCTATAAGTTTACATCAGCCTTCATACGAAACCTAATTACTAGATTTATATCATTGAACTTGTTGGCTGGAAATCTACCTTGTGTGTAATCTTCAACGATCTCACTTTACTTGTTATGCACACGGTTTCCAAATCTCCCCCGAGTCTTCTACAGAAATTGCGGTTTAAATGTATCAGTCAGCATCCTTCTATTTTACACGTGTATTTTCCGTAACCTAATAAATTTGAACTGGTTTATCACATTAAATATTATCATATTTTTGATTGGAAAATGTATGTAAACTTCACCGTTACCTGTAAATGGTTTTACCCGAAGCAGACTATGCACATGGTAGTTTTAGAATTTTTGTATCTGACTACGAAAGTTGCTTGGTTCATTAGTCTACAAAATTACAACTTTGTGCAATAGTATGTGGGTTTTAGCACTAAACTATCATGCTCCTGAACCAACGACTGCGAGTTTTCTAACATCTAGTCTTTGGTAGAATAGTCTGACATTCCCAAACTTTAAGGTATTCCATTTGCCACAGACACGTGATACAAACACTAGATTCGTTTACAGCCATTGATAGCCTGTTTTGTGTTGTAAAACTCACGGAAAACTAAAGAAAAGCAACTTTACTAGCATAATGGGAGAAAAAAAGTTAGAAAGATTTGGACTAAGATGTAAAGTGTGTCATAGCATAATCATAGCCGAAAAGTGGAAAGTTACAGCAACCTTTAACTTTGCAATTCGATTATTTCAGTTGGAAAACTCGCGACTTAGTATTAGCGATGATATTTTCTATCGAGGAAACTGAGAGGTCTCCGGCTGGCTCAGGAACCAATGGAAATTAGTGCCGAAAAACATAGGGCATACGTGAAGGCCGCGATAAGATTTACGGAGTTAAAGCGAGAACAAGCCTTCTATTGAAGATGCGGAACTATGAAATCGGCAGACGTTCTCATTCCAAAGCAGCATCATGATTTCAGGAAAACTTACTCTGCATTATGCCCGATATTTTCACAGACGATTTGAGTTGTTCTGGAATAGGCAGTCGTTGTTGCTAATTGTTTATATGGTTCTGCATGTACATGGGCGAATGAATTGGTTTTATGCCCATCTTGCATTGGTGATAAGCAGGGCTTTGCTGGCGGGGAAGGATTGGTACCCTTTGTTGCGTAAAAGATCTCTGGAACATCCTGCCCTCTGTACTACCAGTGGTTTTTATTATTTTCTGATTACTGGTTCTAATCGAATCTATTTTTGTCTATTATGTAAATAAGTTGATATGTAAATAGCACCTGTACTACAGGCAATTGTACCTAACACTGGTAGTTATCTGCTCATTAAAGCACAGATTTGTAAACAGAACTACTTGATCAACTAGATTGGTTAATTACGAATGACAGCAATCTATGGAAACTTGTTGCTAGAAATGTCGATTTGGGCTAACTACATGTATACATTATCCTGACCAGAAGACGCCATTTCCTTCCCACAAATCAATACAGTCTGGCTATCTATTCAGTTATTTTAAAGGCCTGGGCAATTAGAAAGTGACGTTTGGTTTTGACGCATTGCTCGAGCGAATCTAAAAGCTTTAGTGAACCATTTTGAATGTTATGTTGACTCCAGAAGAACAGCAAAACACATTCATACATATTGACATGCGCTGACTTAACCATTTTTCTATTTTGGTGAACTGGTTAATTCCAGAAAGATTGTTGATGGCTAGAGTATAGGTTAAAACGCCGAGACTGTACAATTCTTAAATACATGTTCTTCAGCTATTCAGACATCGATACAAGTATAATGTAAACGTTAATTCTCTGGATGGATGAATGACTTGACATAACAACAAGCTTTTACATGCAAACAACCAACATGTCTTGTCTGGCTAGAAGGAACCGTTTCGTACTGTTTGTATTAACTATAATGATGTATCTTCCAAGAAATTGAATAACTTGATGGTATCTGATTATATAATACAAATGAACGATAAATACTTGTTGGCTATGGAAACCCAAACGAGAAGCGTTTTCGGGAACATGCACGGAACCCTTTTTACAACACTCAACAGGTTAGAGGGAGACTTTTCCCAAAGATTGAGCATGTTATTACTAAGTGCACCCGTGTGTCCCATGTCCGGATGTGGGTATTGGAAGTCTGGTGTCTAAGTTAGTGCGTATTGCCTAGTTGTTGTCCGACCGCCTCAAAGGTTTGCTAGCGTTTGACAATCGCCCTAGACTAATGTAAATTAGTTTTTATGCATTTAAATTACATTAGAATGTGTCTTTTGACTCATTTTCCCCCATTATAGATTTCAAAGATTACCGACTTAGCTCCTTTAATAGTAAGTCTTCCAAGTAATCAAAAAATTGTTCAAGGATGAAAATAACGCGTCACCATTAAAGGATTTTAAAAATGATGTTCAATAGCATTTCTCAGACTATTCATGTTTCAGTCGGTCAATTCTTATAAAAATTTCCAGAACATTTATTTTAACCGCTTTCTTTTCAAAACAACCCATAAAGAGAATATCGGTTCCTGATTTTCTATCAGGTAACCTTAATTTCATCGCTGTAAATTATCTTATAAATTACACGTATCACATATTTTATCACATTAATGGGTATGTTATGACGATTTCAAATTATCTGCCCTGGCCTAGAATGTAGCTACAATCTACGAACCAATCAGAAAACAGTTTACAAACCAATCGTTTCGCCTTC